TTATTTGACTTGACATTTTTTCTGGTAAACAAAGCAATAGTTTTCCAAATGGAGCGCTTAATATAGGAGTTAGTGAAAATGTTGTCACTAAACTGACAGAGATAGTGCCGAAGAACGATAATCATAAAATATTTTCCGATAATTGCTTTAATAGTCCAAAATTACAAATTTATCTTAAAAAAAATGGATTGTTGCCTTTAGGTAAGGTTCGATTAAACCGTGTTCCAAATTCAGGAATCCCATCCGAAAACGAACTAAGAACGCGATTTCATTGTAGGAAAACTTGCCCTTGGTGAAGACGTAAACTTAAGTATAATAGCTTGGTTCAGTAACAAGCCAGTAAATATGTTATCAAATTACGTTGCTAGTGAACCTAGAACCACAAAACATAGGTACTTCCGAAAAGAAAAAACTTACAAAGAGATTCGATGCCCTCAAGCTGTTAATGTTTTAAATCAGCTTATGGGGGGAGTGGACTTATTAGACTATATTATGGATGCAGTGGCTTTACAGGATCCACCTAAGATCAAGAAAATTGTTTAAACCAATTTTTCTTTATGTTTGATCTATATGTTGTAAACGCTTGGATACTCTGGAATATAAAAAATAAGCAAAATTTCTATATACCATTGTTCGACTTCAAACAAGCCCTTTCTGAACATTTATGTAAATTTGAGAAGTCAGTATCAAGAAAGAGAGGTCATCCAGTAGGACAAAATGGGATTCCAATGTCTAGTCGTCAAGGAACTCCACCTATGTTAACCAATGGAAGAAACTTAACACCAACAAAAAGAACAAGAAAAACTCCTGCAAGTCATCAAGAGATACCGTGAAATTCTGTGCGTACGGGCAACATTGGACACATGCCAGAATGGCCAACAAATAACAGTGTCAAATATGTAGAAAAAAAACTTACACTAAATGTATAAGTATCTATAATGATGGATACATGAGACCTTAGGCTCAGAACAAGAAGTCAAATATAGGACAGACAACTTAAATAGACAACAACTTGTTCAATTAGTTTGTCATTTACTAATTTGTTTATGTTTGGATTACTAATTTTAACAACATATTTTTCATCTTCGCTCACTGCCCTTTTCAGCAGATTTTATAGTTCTTGTTCTCTTCCGGCAATTAATACCGTATCGTCGGCATATCGGATGTTGTTAACAATTGCTTTATACTCTCTACAAAAATAATGGAGTAATGTTTTGTAACGACAATTTCGCTACTTAATTGCACAGTTTTAAGTTCAACTTTAAATATCTCGTAACGAAACACCCTGTATAGTTACCTAAATTATTTAAGTAAACTTTTCTCAACACTATCAATTTTGAGTCTTGTCACTTTTATTGCCAGGGTGCGATATTTTCAAAAGTAATTTCAACTTATAATTCACGTGTAAATAGATCATTACAAACTGGAAACAAATCGTAAATAAGTGTGTAGCATAAATAGCTTTTAGCGTAAGTAATAAGTAGGTCTGTATGAAGATGAGAACAAGGCCACAGACCCAAATCTTAGGACTTTTGTTAATGACAGGTGGTGGTTTAGCTAATTTTAATTGAAACGTAACCCAGGAGGTATATAATACTATTTTTAAAAACCTAGATATTTACATTTAATCATGCTCTCAATTATCAATATTTTGATAGGTAAGTAACAATTGTTAAAATTTATAACAAATGTTTTGGAAATTCATTTAAAAATTTTTATACACTGCGGAGCAACAAGCACTGACTCTTGATCGTTTATGATTACTTGCAATTGTTCAGTCGAAATTCGGTGGAGAATATTGGGAAAGGCAAAATAATAACATATTTATTATAATAGCGAATATTTATTATAATAAAGAATAACGCCATTCTAAACTTGTGTAAATCTCAATTCAACATTTTTGCACTCAACCGTAATTTATATTGGCTACTATCTTCACGGTAGGTAATTACAGTACGTAAGCTATGTAATGTAGTTTCAAAAAGTTTATATTCTATTTCGGGAATAATGATCGGTACTAGTATTTCGACAACACACTATGTATAGTATTTCCACACGCGGTGCCATGCGTGTTTCTTAATAAAATAAAATAAAAACGAATTAAAATAAAATAATCCCGTTTTTTTTTTCATGAAAGATTTATGATAGACGCTTTATTATACATTTATTTTGTGGTTCATTCTCATTATCTTTTGTTCTGTATATGCCAGTATATACCCTTAATATTTTACTTCCCCATCTTGTTATTCTTCTCAGAGCCTTAAGTCTTCTAAGGTCCAGCTCAGTATATCAATATCGTTCTGTATATGGTACAATTTGGCAAATATTTGTGAAAGTTGTTAATTCTCTCTTTATTTGGATCTTCTTCTAAATACCGCTAAAATACTATTGAATAGTGTTGTGAATAATACATCTCCTTAATTATTAGTAACTTGTTTAATTCTAAATTATTCCATGAATGACTTTGGATTCTAATTTCATTTTTAAGTGTTAAATACCAATCTAATTAAATTCTAAGTTACGTTGAAATCTTACATTGCTTTGTACAGTTCATTCCTGATTATGCAGTCATATGCTTGTTTAAAATCTATGAAAACATTAGATAAATGTTCGTAGAATTTTTCTAGTATTGTCTCAGTAAAATGACCTCTTTTATAAATGTTGCAACGTCTCTAATATTCCTCCTTATGTGTAGAGCATATTACTGACATCTTCCATTGTTCTGGCATTGTTTATGTATTCTTAATGCTTCTTTCACAATTGCCTGCGTTTGAATATATCATTTCTTTTGTTATCGCAACATGGGAGCTTCACTACTTTTCACGGATCACGAAGGCTTCTTGATCTTCTGCAATATGCAATTGCCTTTCAATAAAATCAAATAAAGGTAAATAGAATTAAATAAAATTAATTTAATTTAAACAGAATTATGTAAATTTAAATAACAATTAAATAAAATAAAGTTTATACTTCATTTTCCATGTAAAATCCCATAAGAAAATGCTAAGATTCATTCTGCTCAATTTTTGAGCGTTTGTGGTGGGGGTGGAATAGTTCGTTGAATCGTGACGTGACATATTATTGAGAAAAGGGGCAGCGAATATGTTGAGACATTGAGTTACAGAAGGCTTCAGGATGAGTACAAAATAAACAACTGATCAAATCCTAACATGCGACATAGCAAATAAAAGGGGAGGATATAAAAAATATATTCAGATGGAGAAAACTAACACAGAGACTACCAAAAGGGCACTATACATCATCTTTGTTATTAATGAATGTATCATATCACATGACACTATGATGATAATAGACCTATTTGCTTTATATTTAAAGGATAAATAAATACAAGGTAAAATTGCTTTATTAACCTGAAAAAGGCCTCTGACTGATTACAAAATAAACAACTAGCCTAATACTAGCATATGACACATCAAATCAAATGAAGTGAGACATATAGTATGTATAATGTATATAGCATGTCATCAAGATATATATACAGGGTATAGTAAAAAAACTTAATGTCAGGTCAGAAATGCACCAGATCATACTTTATATTTACTGGGATTATATGCAAAAAGTTTATTACTTTAAAAATTTAATGACTGACTATAGATGACAATTGATTGGATGCCACCTTTACATGTGACATGCAAGGTTACTAGTGATCTAATAAACAGTCAATAATATTTCATAAACACAGATGGGAAGCAAAACATGTTTTAAAAACTTTTTTCATCTGACAGTCCAATTCTCCAAATGTATTCTTCAAAACCTACATTTTTCCAAACAAAAAAGCCAATTATTTAATTATGACAAAAGTTGGAATTCATTCAATATGTAATACTAATTTCTATGGTCAAATTGTATAGTATGAAACTTAGATCTCTATGATAACTGTAATGTCTTGTCTTTAATAAGTTCTTAGCATTTTGTGACAAACGAAAATTATGAAGAAAGCAAGATTTAATTCTACACCCCTCATGTGGTATAAACGCATGAATATTAAAAAAATAATAGATGAACAAACTTTAGGTATTTAACATGTGGGCATATTGAAGATACAGGATATTTATAAAACATACAACAATTATCAGAATATTTCTAGTCCTAATGATTATGTGTACCATGTTTTGGGCCAGACATTGCATGTTCCTTCTGAAATTCCTAGACATAGCAGAGATTTATGCAGCCTACTGAGTAAAGGAGTCATTTGCTTTATGATAATATCTGAAACTCAAGATCTTATCACATGATTTGGCTGGAAACAATTTGAACATATAGCCTCATGTTGCATTAGATGTCAAATAGGGTTAATAGTACTAGTTAAGGATAATAATCTCCAGGGAGATCACACATGTAAAAATAATTTATTACAATAATTTCAGAATAGGGAAAAAGAGAAAAGATTGAGGTGGAGTTAAGTGATGCAAAGGGAAAATATCCAGCAACTTAACAATAATACAAGAGACAATTATAAAGGATGTAAATGTTTCAACCCTAAATTTAAAATGACTCACTTATGGTTTACCATTGAAATTAATGACATTTAAATATTAAATAATATACCATTTCTAAAACTGTTTAACATGGTCTTTTATCTTTATTTTATTACATATCTAACATGATTTAAGTACATTTGATATACACATTATACAAGTACATAATTAATAGAACAATGAGTAATAAAATAAATAATTTTGTTTATGATTAAATTACATATTTGGAATTGTGTAAATATATAAATAGTCTGGGCAATGAAAGATTCTGAAAACATATTCAGAAAATTCAATGTGAAAAATGTCCAATGAATTATATTTATTTGTTAATTTTGGCCTTTCTCACTCTAAATAATTTTGTTCTTATGAGAAAAGGAAATTTTGCATATTTTATAAATGAATGCAAATGCAATCTCTAGCAAATGTCAGTTAATATAATATGTAATATAGAATAATGTATCAAAATTAATAAACCTATTTATTAAATGTATCAAAACTTACTTGTATGAAGTAGAACTCCTTGTGACACGTACATTATTTTCAACTATTGTCTCCTTCTCCAGGAAGGTTTTACTAAACTCCTCCACCTGGGTAAAGGGAGTCCTTGATTTTGACCTCCTTGATCTAGTATCCATGTCAATTAGCCACCAGTAAATACTTCCTGGAATTAGTAAAAATCATTGGTAGATGTAATACAAGTATCATAAAACTAGAATCTTTTAATAACAAGAACAAGGTATTTAAAAGTGCCAAATTCCCCCTTAGATGGTTCTAAAAATAAGTTAGTAGTAGTTCCCTCCACTTTTAATTATTTTAAGAAGTATCTGTCAACTACAAGAAGGAAACAGTATGGGTGTTATAAACAAACACATACACATGTTTACATTACATAAATGAGTAAAATGAAAAGGAAAACTAGGCTAAGGTTAAGCCGTTTTTACAAGTTAAAGCTCCAATTTTTACACAATATAAATGACAGAATATAGCTATTTTAAGTTTTATATCAGTGTATCAAATCGATTTAACAGAAGAATATCCACATTTATGTTAATTTTTATGACTACAACCTTCTTGACTTCAGCTTTCTAACAGCAAAACAAAATTTTACATAACATAAAGAAAAATTTTAAATGTATAGAATATCCTCAAAATAATTAGCTAGTGTACTTACCACATTTAAAATCAATTCGTGTGTATGAAAATTCTCCTAAATTTTCATAGGAAATCACACCTAAAACGGCTTCTCCAACCAAAACTTTAAATGTAGTGATGACGTCATATATACGAAAATAAACATAACAGGCAATGTTGCCAAATGGAAAGTGTTTGTCATAGCAGATTTGATTTACCTAACACGAAGCCAATTCATTGCAACATCGGGAACAGGGACGGACTAAAATTATAAAATAAAGATGTACTAATATAAATTATTACTCTTGTTGAAGCTGTTTGTCCGGATGAAGAATTGGAAATGTTAAATAAACCAGTAACAATCGAATAAAAATAGGCAATAAGTAAATAATAGAATGGAAGTTCGAAGCAGTTTATATATGTTTACAATATTTTATTATTGTTCTGAAGTTATTTTCTTGTGGCATTGTAATTAATTTACAATATTTTATGGTAATAAAAATATCTACTGTAATTAAGAAAATTATTTATTTATTGCAACTGGATAAAATAGCAATAATACATAAAAAATAAGCTACTTATAACATATTGTGTAAGTAAAAATCTAAAAACAATATAAAAACAGTTTCAATCACATTTAATAACAAATAAATTAAAAACACATCCAGTAACATTTTAGATTTAAATTGCTGAACAATTAAAACCATCACCAATATTTATCTAACAAAAAGTTTAACTTCACATTTAAATCTATTAACTCTAATACAACAATCAATTTTATTACACTAAAGATTGGCTAATCTGATGGTTCCAGATAAAGTGTTGTAATCATAGTTGTTTTTATGTTAAATTGCATAATTAAATAACTTGCCAAGTAGATAAGATTTTATATTGGGAGGTGTCCACTTAATTAGAAGTACAAAAAGGTTTGAAAACAAAAAGAAGAAGAAAATTGAATTTAATGGTAAAATTATTTAGTTTATTGTGAGTTTTGGGCAAAGACATATAATATATCACGAAACTCGAAATCCGAACATTTCTAATTGTCGAAACCAAATTCAGATTTTTTCTTTTATCTGTCCCTTCTAAGAATTGCAAGGCAAAACGGACGTTGATAAAGATGTACCCTTTAGAGAAAAGGGTAATTGCATTGCATTTCACAAAGACAGTTAGGATATGATTTCACGTATAGTGCCTCTGTATATTCGCTAATACGTTTTTTATCCTTAAAGTAATCTTCGGAGCGACAATTTACAGATGCTCTGAATTCGTGATACTTTTTATGGGTACTAAAAACCAATTCGCCAAGGATTTTTGCTTAGTTGATGAGATATGTTGTGGAATGCAATTTTAGATTCCTCATGTCTCTAATTACATCCTTATCAACGTCTGTTTTGCCTTACAGTTCTTAGACGACACAGATTAAAGTAAAGCAAACATCTGAATTTAGCTTCGACAATTAGAAATCTTTCGATTTTGAGTTTCGTGATTTATTATTAGATGTCGTTATTGCGTCCATATCGAAGCCATTTTAGCGTTGCTTCTATCAGGACAGGAAAGATTGTTTTCACGTTCAGAGCATCTGTAAATAATCGCTCCGAAGATCCTATTAGGACGAAATACGTATAAGCAAATATACAGAGGCACTATACGTGAAATCAAATCCTAACTTTCTTTCCTTATATAAATATAATATAGTTTTTTGGACATTTGAAAAATCGTTATTAGAACATGACATACAATAAGTCTTCCTATGACTGTGATTTAATACTAATAATCTATGATTGTAGAATTTTAGTTTAACACAGATAGTTGCGATCGGAATCGTAGATACCTAATAACAAAATATTAAATAATTTTAGAATTGTAAAAAATGTAAAGAATAAAATATTGTCATATTTCATATCTTTGTATCGTGAAGATGTAACTTTTATATTGAATACAAACAATTGACTGAAAGATTAGTACTAGTTCAATATATTAACATTATTTGCTTTGTTATAACGAGCTCAACTACTAAATTTATAATTATTATGTCCATTTAAGGTGCTTAAATATAGCTAGGTAAATCATAATTTATAGAGTATATAAATTAGTAATTTTAGAATGTGACAAATGCAACAATGTGATACTTTGGCGTAGTAAAATATTTTTTCAATCTCGGTTTTTCAATCTAATGGTGAATATTAAAATAAACTTAATTATACTTCTTATCGTAGATTTATGTTTTATGTTTTGGCTATACACAATAAAGGTTATTAAAAAAAAAAACTTAAAGGATTAAATGTATAATGGTTAAAAAATTATTTTTGTAAAAAATTGAAAGTTTCTAAACAGAATAGAAATTTCAGAACGTTTTCGATTTTAGCAGACCATGATCAGTGAACACATAGCAATTGAAATTAGTCACTGAAAAAGGTGTAATAACCTTTAAATTACACACTTACTTAGGTATTTAATCCCTTAGCCTTGTTTAGCTTTACGGAAGTAAGATATTCGAAGTCTTGGAGTAGAAGCCTCCCCAAATGCCGCGTTTCTGGGCTATCAACTCCGCTTCTCTTCAACTGATTTCTCGCCTCTTTAGCACCTTTCCAATCACGCTATTTCACGTCCTTGCTGGCCTTCTTCTTCTTTGTTTTTTTGTCCATTACTGCTTGTCACACTTGCTTCACTTTTCTAAAATCATCCATATGGACCATATAATCGAACCACGTACGTTGTCTTTGTTCCACTTTGTCTAAGACCGATCCAACATTACGTTGTACCCGTATAAAATCGTTTCTCAATCTATTGCTTTTCATCACTCCTAAAACCATTTCACACGCTTGTATCTTACTTTTGACTCACTCTAAGTCCAAGTTTTTGAGCTGTATAGTAGCACCGGAAAACGCAAATAAAATTGTCGAAAACCCACAGAATGTAGACTTCAGCTATCAAATCTCTGAAAAATAACAAGTCTCCGGGAATCGATAACATTGCTGCCGAAATACTTAACACTGATCCGCATCTAACTGCTGAACTTTTGCTCCCCATAATCCAAGGGGTGTGGGAAACAAACCGCATTCCAGCGGGCGGAAAAAGATTTATGGCTTAAAAACATAAGGGATTAGACAAACCTCGATGCCCTTGCACTCTTTAGAGCTACACAAGATCGAGAGGAGTCTGCCAGAAATGTTGCCAACATCTACTAATTGGATAGGACACCATAAAAGAAGAAGAAGGAAAAGAGGTAACGTTATTAAGTTTCCAAAAAGGGCAACCTCACACTGTGCAAAAATTGAAGAGGAATAACCTTGCTTACCGCAATAAAGAAAATCTTCACGACCATCATACTTAAAAGATTAATAAACAAAATTGAATTTCGAGATGGTAAAGCAGGCTTTAGACCAGAATCCTCCTGCATTATGGATAAAATAATTTCCATTACGAATCACAGTACACTGAAGCGAAATGCAGGGTGACACACAATGGAATCAATAGCGAATAATTTGACATACTTACTGGAGGGATGCGTGCTTTCTCCGCTTTTTTTTTAAACATAGCAGCTTTTTAACATAAGAGACTTCGACACAAGAGGGATACAATGGTCGTTAACCACACGCCCAAGCGATCTGGAATACGCTGACGATATCTGCCTGTTAGGACAAAGGTTCTAAGATGTGGCTGATCAATCGGAAACACTTTTCACTGAAAAATCCATAAGAGTAAATGCAAGAAATAACACGCTATTTCTTCTTCTTCTACGGCACTACAGCCCAAAATGAGCCTTGGCCTCCTTTATTTTTTGCCTCCACCCTTGTCTGTCTGTGGCTGCTCTTCTCCATACACGGACTCCTAAAAGTGCTTGTGCGTCGCTGCTTACTGTGTCTTCCCAGCGCTTTCTTGGCTTTCCAACTGGTCTCTTTCCCTGCATTCTGGCGTTCAGTGCTCGTTTTGGTAGCCTATCCTCTCCCATTCGTATCACATGTCCGGCCCATTGCAATCTTTGTATTCTAATGAAGTCTGACAGGGGTGTTTCCTTATACAGTTAATAGAGCTCGTTGTTATATCGAATTCTGAAGATTCCGTTTTCCCTCACAGGTCCTAGTATTCTCCTCAGTACTTTTCTTTCAGTATAATGACTACACGGCAGAAATCAAAGTCAGAATCGAAAAAGCACGTTCTAATTTTATAAAAATGAAAAAGGTCCTATGTGGCAAAGATCTAACATTAGCTCTTAAAGTACGCCTAACAAAATGTTACGTATACAGTGTACTATATTATGGAGTGGAATCATGGACGTTAAATCTAGATACCATGAGACGACTTAACGCCTTTGAAATGTGGACCTATAGAAGAATTATGAGGGTTTCCTGGGTAGATAGAGTTACAAACAAAGAAATACTGAGAAGAATAGGCAAAGACAAGGAAATTGAACTTACAATTAAAGAAAGAAAGCTACAGTATCTCGGACATGTGATGCGGGGCGATAAGTATGGCATCCTGCGACTCATAATGCAAGGAAAAATAGATGGCAGAAGAAGCATCGGAAGAAGACGAATTTCATGGTTGAAGAACCTGAGAGAATGGTTTGGATGCAGCTCAAAACAACTATTTAGAGCTACTGCCTCAAAAATTAAGATAGCTATGATGATTGCCAACCTCCGTAGCGGAGATGGCACCTGAAGAAGAAGACTTTTCTTTCGAATGTGTCGAGTTTGTTTTTGGATGTTTCTTTCAGAACCCATGCTTCGCTGCCATAACATGCTATTGGCCGAATTAAAGTTTTATAGATTTTCATCTTTGTATTTCGGTGGACACTTTTAGACCGAAATATATGGGAGAGGGCAAAATAAGCTTTGTTTGCCTGCGTTATCCTTTTTCGTATTTCTCCATCCTCCGCTCCATCGGCATATATTTCTACTCCCAGGTATGTAAACTTTCCAACCGTTTCAATGTCATCTTTATGTATAATGTTTTGTGGGATTATATTTCTTCTCGTCTGTACCATTATTTTTGTTTTTTCTGTGTTAATTTCCAGACCTAGCCTTTTCGTTTGTGTTTTTAACTCTGCGTATGCTTCCTGTGCTCCTGTTGATGTTCTACTCATAATATTAATATCATCGGCGTAGGCAGCCAGTTGAACCGTTTTATTGGTCAGTAGGTTTTCTCGTCCAGTTTGCATTTGCCTAACCGCGTACTCCAGTGCCAGGTTAAACAATGTTGGTGCCAGCCCATCTCCCTGCTTTAGTCCCTGCGAGTTTTTAAAAAAGTCTGTCCGGTTGTTTTGTATTCGTACACTTGCCTGAGTTTCATCCATTGTGGCTTTAATGAGTCTAATTAGCTTATGTGGTATTGCTAATTCTGCCAATATATAGTATAGTCTGTCCCTTTTGACTGAATCGTATGCCTGTTTGAAGTCTACAAACACGTTGTGAACATCAATGTCGTTTTCCCACGATTTGCTCAAGACCTGCTTGACTGTAAATATTTGATCCATTGTCGATCTTCCCCGTCTGAAGCCCGTCTGATATTCTCCAATAATATTTTCTGCTAGTGGTTGGAGTCGCTGGTTTATAATATACGTGAGGACTTTATACGCTGTACATAGTAGAGAGATTCCACGGTAGTTTTTGCATTGGAGTTTGTCTCCTTTTTTATAGATTGGGCATACTATACTTTTCTTCCATTCGTCGGGTATTTTCTCTTCTTGCCATATTTCTTTGATAAGCGCGTGGATATGACTTGATAGGTGGTTGCCACCTACCTTATACAGTTCTGCTGGAATCTCGTCAACTCCCGGGGCTTTATTGTTTTTCTGGGCCTTAATAGCTTCGAGAACTTCCTCTATGGTTGGAGCTTCTACTTCAACTTCGTTCTCTTCTACATGGTTCGTACCCATTTCATCTTCCATATCTACTTGTGTTCCAAGTAGGGTCTGAAAATAATGCTTCCAGGTTTCTGTGACTTTCTGTTGGTCACTGATTATTTGCCCACTTTCATCTTTGCATAGGCTTGTTTGAGGTTTATATCCACTTTTTATCTTTTTTAGGTATTCGTAAGCTCCTCTAATTTCGTTTTTTTTTTTGAAATTTTATTCCATTTCTTCTATTTGTCCATTTTCATAAGCTCTCTTTTTGTTTCTGCATATCTTGTCTGCTTTCCGTCTTGCGACTTCAAATGATGTTCGTCTTTCCCGTGTTCTTCTTGTTATGTACATTTTGTGCGCTTCGTTTCTTTCTTCTATCGCTTGCCTGCACTCGTCATCAAACCATGTTCCTCTTCTCTTCTTTTTCTTGTTTCCCACGGTGGACGCTGCTGCTGTCAGCACTGCTGTTTTGATATTATTCCATTTGCTCTCTATGGAGTGCAGTTCTTGTGTCCTTAGCTCATTTGTGACTTCTTGCTCGAACTTCTCTCTACATTCCTGAGTCTTCAGTTTTTCCAGGTCTAGTTTGTTTGTTCTTTGTTGTATTTCGTTTCTTTCTCTGTTAACTCTGCACCTAAATTTGGTTTGCAGTAAAAGATGGTCTGATCCACAGCATGCTCCTCGTCGTGTTCTCACATCAGAGATAATACTGGCTGCCCTTTTGTCTATCATCACATGGTCAATTTGATTGGTTGTGGCTCCATCTGGTGAGATCCACGTCATTTTGTGTATGTCTTTATGTGGGAAGCATGTGTGGAGCTTATAACCATGTTTTTACTGGTGGCAAAATTTATCAAAAACTCCCCATTCTCGCTTGTTTCATTGTGCAGTGAGTGTTTTCCTGTTGTGCCATAGAACTGCGGTTCCTTGCCTATTTTGGCGTTCATATCACCCATTTTAACCTTAATGTCATTTTTTGGCGCGTTGTTATAAATACTATCTCCAGCTGTTGGTAGAAGCTTTCCTTTGTATGTTGCTCTTGTTCATCTGTTGGGCAGTAGATGTTTATCATAGTAAGGTTGAAGAAGTGGGTGCGAATTCTTAGTTTGCATATCCTTTCATTCACTGCCTGGAAGTCTATGATTTTTGACTTAAAATCATTATCTACCACAAATGCAACTCCACATTCTTTGATTCCTTGTTCTTTGCCACTATATAGAATTGTGTGCGTTTTGGTGTCCCTGACACCTTTCCCCAGCCATCTTGTCTCCTGAAGACCAGTGATCATAAGATTATATCTTTTTAGTTCTTGTAGAAGTGCAGTTTGAGCTCCTGGTCTATTTAGCGTCCTCACATTCCAACTTCCAAATGCATAGTCCATGTTTCGTAGCTTTAGTCGTTTCCGAAAGTTCCCCTTGTTCCGAGGCAAATGTTTAGGTTTCATAACAGTGTGTTTTTCCGGGAGTGGGTTGTTAGCCCACTGCCCAACCTTCCTCCTTTACCCAGGCTTAGGACCGGCAATGGTGACTCCTGAGCTATTCAATCCACCCATTAGTCACCACAGGCGGAGTTAACACGCTATTTACTATCAACAATATTCAGATAAAAAATGTGGAATACTTTACGTATCTTGGAAGTGTCATAGCAGAAAGCCGAGGTACAGAGGACGATATTCGTATAAGGATACGAAAAGCTCAAAAAGCATTCAGCATGCTTAACCCTGTTTGAAGATCTGGCGAGTATACTACAAGGGCAAAAATCCGCATATTCCAGTCAAATGTCATGTCTGTTCTACTCTACGGATGTAAAACCTGGAAAGTCACAAAAAATGTTTTCAAGGTCTGTCTATAAAAGTTTTCAATTATGTCGGCGTTCTTCTGAGTGCAATATTAATTTTATTTATTTATAAATTAATCGTCTAATGTTTTATATATATTTAAATGGAATGTAAGCAAACCTAATAATGTATAATGTTCGCAAAAACTATTAACTGAATTATAATTTAAGGCAAATGGCCGAGACGACTCTGATAATAATCTGAAGAACAGTAAAATTGTGTAAGCTGAATTAATATTAATAGTGCTTACACGTCACTTAAATGCAAATTATTTTCTGTCAAAAAATTGACGTTTTGTAGGAAACGTCGTCTGCTAACGTGAGTTTAATAAAATTAAATAAAATTCAAATGGGAACTGAAAACATAGATTATGTATCAGGAGATACACAAAATAAGCCATCACAGCAAGAACCTCTTCTACCATTTACTTTAGAAAGTGAGTGCAAGCAAAGGATATTGTAGAACAACTATTCTTAATTTGTTGACATCTGTTAACTATGGGCATTCTAATTTATGACTAAATTAAAAGAAGTTGTACTAAATATTTTTATTTTCTTTTAGTTTTGAAGTTAATAAAAGACTGTCAGCAACAACACGGTCTTCGACATGGAGATTATCAGAGATACAGAGGTTACTGCTCCAGGAGGATTAGCAGATTGCGTAAAGTACTCAAAATTCCTCAAGGAGATCGTCGACACTTTAAAAAACGAGACGTTACTGAAGCTCACATAATAAATCCAAAATCTGACGATAGATTTCTACACATTCCTCTTATACTAGCAGAGAGAAATTGGGCATATGCAATGCAATTGAGACAAGAGGCCAATACTGAACCTAGGAAGAAGTTTCATTTAGTTCAGAAAATGAGAAAAGCATGTGTGTATGCTCTACAGTTGGATGAGCTGTGTAAGGTAAATGAATTTAAAACAAGCAAGTCTACAATTGAGATAATTTGGTTAAGTCGAAAAGAGTATTAATAGCTACATAACTTGTACTTGGAAACACCTCTGTAAAATTTGAAGTAAATAACAATTTTCATTCATTTGTGAAGTGAAAACTTCTATGTCCTTAAAAAAATGTACTTTTAGATGGGGAAAAAGTCAATTGCGCCTTATCATGAAATTTGAATCTAAAAATGTTTATTTATTTACTGGTCTCTACCATTTTTCATAAATTATTAAGTCTAATTATTTTATTAAATAGTCCACACAGCTTCTTCTTGAAATTGTTTCCTTTGCCTGTTCATCTGCATGATAACCCCTGAAGAAAAAGTTTTATAGTCTTGAAATAAAGTCTCTGTTTTCTCTCTCTGAAAGTCTGTTCATTCACATTTCAATATGACTCTCTGAAAGTCTGTTCATTCACAGTACAATATGACCTAGTAATATGAGCATCCTTTTATAGAGAAAAGATGGGTATTCTGGTTTTCTGAATTCAATTCAATTCAATGAACACTTTATTAATTTCTAACTTACACTATCATTCTCTTTGTCTTTATTCCTATGGAGGGTCAGCTTTAATAATTACATTTCTCCATAGTTTATATCTTGAGTCATACCAGTAGTAATCCTCTTCACAGAAATATCCTGCATAGGTGTTCCCCTTTAAATCTACTGTTCTTGCCTTCAATCTTTCCCTGGATGATTAGTTGAGGGATTGCATATCTTTTTCCTCTCAGGATATGGCCGAAGTATCCAATTTTTCGTCCTTTGATCAAATTGAGTACTTCTCTCTCAGTATTTGCGTTTCTTAAGACTTCCTCGTTTCTCACCTTATCTGTTCATGGTATGCAGAATGTTCTTCGTAATGTTCACATTTCGAAGGACTCCAACTTATTAATGGAAGGTAGTATTAACGTCCATGTTTCCATGCCATATAACAATATGGACCACATAGCATTTAACCATTCTGTAGCGGAGATTGAAGGAAAGATTGCAGTTACATAGTAGCAGTTTCAATTTAATAAAAGAATTACTAGGTAATCTAAAAATTGTAAACTATACAAATATTCATAATTATTGTATAAGCAGTATCTGAAATTCAAGTTTCTATTTTTAGTTATAATATTAATGTATTTTTTGTAGCAAGATAGATGTGATGTTCGGACTAAGCTAGAATCACAAGCATATCTTGCTTGGATTCAAGGCTCTCTTCAATTTGAGCTTCAACTTTGGCAGCAAGCTGCTGAAAATTTGAAGAAAGCCCAGGTAATCTATGAAAAGATATCATCTACACTGCCTGAAGAGGAGCAGCTACCTTATAAACAAAGGGTTGAAGAAATTAGTCCAAGTTTGAGATATTGTGCTTATAATATCGGGGATGAGAAAGCTGTAGATCTCTTGGAACTACGTAGTCAGGGAGTATTGGAGAACTTTGATGCTCTTGTATCCCAGAATAAAGAAAAGAATGAGGATGTTCTGTATGAGGTAAATCTACTTTTTTTTCTTTAATTATGTTAAAAACTATCTAAAAACTATAACTAAGTAAGATTTTATACAGTCACAATCACAGGCTTTATGTGATTGTATGGCTGCATTTTCATAGTCAGATTTTTTTTTGATAATATATTTGTAGAGAATGAATTCTAAAGTATACAATAGTACATTATAGAGCAAGTCAAACAGTTGTGCTAGTGAATATTCATCTTCGGATTTGTAATTAATAATACATTATTTTAAATCAATTTATCACATTAGAGAACAAAGATTTTGTGATTTATCCAGAAAATCAGATAACTACAGTAAAGTACCACAATTTTAGCAAGTGACAAGTAAAGTTTTAATGATTTTTATAGGCCGGTAAAGTGGAACATTTACCCTTTAGGAAAACTTTCTGTTGTGACAAAAGGAGAAAATTTAATTATTAATTAATAAACAAATTAGTCGATTATTGCAGAATATGTTTAATCTTGTAAAAATTGACAAAAACCTTCTTCTGACTGTTCAAAGGCTATACATTCAGATAGAAGAGATCTAATTTTATATGAAATACATGTCAATAATTTGCATCGAGCAAAAAGACAATAGAGGGAATGTAAAGGTAGTGTTGGCAAAAATATTGTTAGACAGGAAGTGCGATCTTTAGAGGCCACATTAAACAAGGAAAGAGAGTCTCACTCCTTGTTTGACATCAAATTTAGTTGGGTTATGTTATTGTTTGTCCCAAATGGCACATGAAATCTTATTTATATTGAAGTTTTTTAACAATTGTGTGGTATTTTAGACTATTACCGTTAATAATTAATTAAAATTTTCTCGTCTAAGACACATTCTGAAAAATATTATATAGCTACTGTTAATATGTGTCAGAAAATTTAAATTTGGCGCATTCGCATTTCCTGATATGTCCGCCATCAGAGGCCACTTTTTTGGTCTCCTTTTCATAAGATTCCCTCTTTTGTCTTTTTACTCGATGATAATTTGACTGGTCTTTTTTTAAATTGTTCAAGTGTTTTGGAAAAGATTTAGGTTCTAGAGAAAATGTAACGTTATCAGCATGTATGATTCAACTTTAAGTTATCTGCAATGTTGTATTTTATATCTTTCTCTAGCAATAGATAATGTCTGATATCAACATAGCCTTCGCAAATTAAGGTAATCTAACTGGCAACAATGCTATTGTTCTAGTAGCTATTTTTTTTATCTGTTATCTGTAAGTTGGTTTTATAAATGCACTGAAAATGGTTTCATAAAGCAGACAACAGAATTGTTTGTAGTATTATTAGTGGAAGAAGCTTTTACATTTACTTTTTGTGAATTGTGAGTCATTTAGTTTAATTTAATTTGGCGACTTATAATCAATATGACTAACAGTAGTAATAGTAAACCATAAACAAGAAATGTCAAATTTTAACACCTGAACAAAAAACTATGATTAGAAATGTGTGTGTTGAGAGAAGAGGAAGGAAGCAAATAAAATTGGATGACTCAACCAAATAGACCATTCATTGTGCAGTATATGAATTTTATTTCAAAAAGAAATAACCAACTATCAAAAAATGCTTCTTTTCTTCAATCTAATGAAAATATTCTAAAAATATTAAGACATGTTTTGTTATGCACTTTACGTGAAATGAACTTTAGGTATTTAAAGGGAAAGAGGAATAGTACCCTTATTGGATAAGAAGGATTCGATAACATGATTAAATGAAGGACATACTGTGACAAAAATTTGGCAGGATTTAAAAGTGAAAAACAAATGACAAACTTTCCTAGATGGTTTTTGTTAGGTTTAAAAGCTCCATCTGAAAATGAAAAATACCTTATTATTAGCCATATTGGTAGCGACTCAGGATCTGTTGAAGGAGGTGTAAATGCATTTTTTTCTAAAAAGACTGGAGATTACCATGAGGAAATGGATGCAGATGAAGTGGCGCGAGAACGAGGCGTAATTATAGCTCGATTGCCGCCATACCATTGTGAATTAATCATGATGGAACTTATATAGGCTTAAACAAAAAATGAAGTAGCGAGGAACAATGTTACTTTCAAATTAAATTATGTAAAAAATCTGCTTAAGTGCCGTCAGAAATGTAACCTCACAGTAATAAATAAAATGTATCGAGAATGTATTGAAAGAAGAGCACAATATGTGGAACCTTAATAACTTCATTGAAATTACCATGGAACCAGTAGTTATGAATCTAAGATACTAAGATACTAATGATGAATCTGAAGATGACATAGATGACTCAGATTAGATTATATATATAATATATATATATATATATATATATATATATATATATATATATATATATATATATATATATATATATATATAATATTAGTTTTTATTTGAGTAAATAAATATTCAGTAAAGGTAAATCATTTATTACCAGTACTGTTTTGTACCAAGAATTGTTTAAGTAAGTAATTCAGTTTTAGCTATGTTAAACGTTACTCGATGGCCCTTTTTCTAATCCCATATCATTAAATCTCATTTGACAATAAGAATTAAATTTAAACCTCGAGTCATTAGTTTGTTAATTTAAACAGATAAAGGGTTTTTCTCAAAAAGAAATATTAAACAAGGATAAGTTTTTTTCATCTAAGGCATCTATAAAATAAAATAATTTTTATGACAATCAAATACTGATTATTTTTTAAATAATAACCACACGTTTATGACTAATCGATTTCCCTTTCCCTCAAACCCGCAAAGGTCTTCATTGAAAATATGAGTCACTTGCTACTTGCATTGTTGTTGGATTAGGTTTGATTCTCAGCAAAATTTATTAGCTATTAGTAAAATAAGTTGTATTGGTATATACTAAGTAAATATACCATTTTTTAAAATTAATTTACAAGTTATTTATTGTGAATTTTGACTTTCTCGTTTCTTCTTGGATAAGAATTACACTGAGTGTCACGAAAAAGAGGCCATCTAGAATTTTGTAACAATTTTTCAATAAGTTTAAGTTTATACAATTTATTCCATTGTAACTAAATTCCCACAATGCAGCAATACTTTTAGCGTCTTTTAGGCACCGAAAAAACGGTGCCGACAGGTCAATTAAGGGTAATAAGTTTGTAAAATTGATATCCGTTTTACGACTTCGGATATACACGTATTATTTGTACCTTATTTTTTTTGGAATATGGCTATTCTGTTTTTCAAAAACCTGCCACTAGTGTACAGTTGTTCAAAGAATAAACTTTAATTTGAAGCAATTTTGAAATTAAAAACTATGGCTGAGAAATTTGGTAGATCTGTTCAAATTGTTACTTTGATTGGTAATGGAATGAGTCAAAGAGAAGTAGCCAGACAGCTTGGAGTCAGTCGTTGTATGGTCCAAAAAATTTACCAACGATTCGTAGAGACTGCATCTCACGAACGACGACCATCATCACGCCTGAAAAGAATCACTACTGCCAGAGAAGACCATTCTTTACAAAGCACTTCTTTGCAAAATCGGTTCTTTACGGCTAGATAAATCCAAAACCGTTTTCAAAATGCTCACGGGTGGACTTTAAGCACTTCTACCGTGAGAAGAAGGTTGAGGGAATTTGGTCTAAGAGCTCGCTGTCTAGCAACAGGACCTTTCTTAACAGCAGCACATCGACAACGCCGACTATAGATTGCTAGAGACCACGAGCATTGGACGATAGAAGATTTAAAAAATGTTTTGTTTAGTGATGACTGCAGGATGGTTCTTTATGGCTCAAATGGTCGTATCAAAACATACAGAAGACGTGGGAAACGATATGCTGCTTGTGCTCGACGAGTACATGTTGCTTTTGGAGGAGGTTCGGTAATGTTTTGGGCAGACATTTTATACGAGAGCCGTACTGATCTCGTATTTATTGATAGAGGAGCGTTGAATGCACACCGAATGCATTACCAAAATTTTAGACGAGCATGTAATGCCTTTTGCTGGGTTTGTCGGCGAAAACTTTATTTTTATGCAAAACAACGCGCGGCCACACGTAGCCAGGATGGTAACGCAATATCTGGAAACTGGCAGTGTGCCAAAAATGAACTGGCCGGCTCAAAATCCAGATTTGAACCCGATTGAACATGTTTGGGACCAACTCAAACGAAGGGTAAGAAACAGAATACCTGCCCCAATAAATCGTAAGCAGCTTCAGTTAGCGATCATGGAAGAATGGGAAGCTTTTCCTCAAAACGAAAACCAGAATTTGATCAATTCAATGCCAAATCGAATGGGAAGTGTAATTAACAATAGAGGTGGTAATCCACAGTATTAATAATCACGACTTAATTGTAATTTTATAAAGAAAACAGAAATAACGTACAATGTCAATTTTTTTTATTTTTCAATAAAATTATTATTTTGGAAGAAGTTATTTTTTGACATTTATTATTTAAAAAATGATTGCATACTGCTTTAGAACATATTCTTAAACATTACACAAATATCTAATGACAATCACTTTGTGGTATGATTCGTAAAAATTAAAAAATGGCAAAATTCTTAGGTGGCCTCTTTTTTTGTGACGCGCAGTGTATATACATAACTATATTTTATTATTTAAACTAGTCTCACAACTAAATCTGTAAAATAGTATGGATTGAAAACATTAAATATAATACATTTCCATTTTATTTACTATATTTAATGAGAATAAATTGCAATTTTAATTGAAAAGATATTTCATGTTTTTATATCTAGATTTTTTTATTTTGAGAAAGATTTTTGTGACGGAAATCGAAACATCAAATATAACTTATTTCCAAATTAACAATTTATACAGATCACGACATTGTTTTATTGGCCATACAACACAATAGCAATCGCTGTGACATGTTACATGTCTCTACCTCTATATTCATTCCACAGTAGGTACGAATTGTCGTAATTAACACATTGACATTAAAAATTTCAAACGAAATTCTGAAAGAATAAACAAATAATTAATAAAATGCCTATTACATTGTATACTGTCCAAGAAAAAGTGTAACTTCTAATATGGAACTTTAAAGGTCATTCGATACGCAAAGTAATTGATTTATCTATTGTTGCCTTCGAAAATAGACTCCCACCAGTGTTACAGTTAAAAACACCATTAAACATTTTCAAACTTCGGGATGTGTAAACAGTTGTAACAAGTGTCATGAAGGTAATGAACCACGTGTTAGACCTGTCAATGAGGAGCGTTAAAAACAGGGATATTGCTATTTGTGCTTTTGCGGAAGCTAGTGAACCTTGCAATCGTGTACAAATTGCTAGAGAAGTTAACGTGAATACTCAAACTGTCCAGCGAGTTCTCAAAAGGAATGGGTATCACTGTTTTAAGATACAACCAACACAAGAACTGTTTCCGGAAGATAAGGTTAGATAAACAGAATGAAAATGTACAATTTTTAAAAAATATTTTATTTTCTGACGAATCTTAATTTTTATTACATAAAAAACACAATTCATCCGTTGCAAGGTAATTTTCTCGGAAAAATAAGCATCTCAGTGTTTCAGTGCGAACGCAGCATCTGCAAAAGTTAAATGTTTGAACTGGGATGTTAGGCGACCATATTGTCGGTCCATTTTTTATCGATGAAAACCTAAACGGGACCAAATATTTACAACTTTTACAGAATGAGATCATTCCGGCAGTTCGACGCCTTCCCGTTAATTTTCGGTTGGTCTATTTCCAACAGGATGGGTGTTCGGCTCACAACTCTAGAGCAACTATTGACTTCCTCAATCAAACGTTTCCTGATCGACGGATAAGTACACGTGGTACAATTAAATGGCCCGCTAGATCCTGCGACTTATTGCTTAACGATTTCTTTTTTGCGGTTTTCTCAAAGAAAACATTTATAGGCATCAGTTTCTAAGAACCACAAACCTAGTCGAATTAATGGCAAAAATACTTCATTTCTTTGCAAGCATTACACCAGCCCTACTCCAAAATATGAGGAGAAATCTGTATGACAGATTTGGTTACTGTTTAGCACAAGGAGGTGGAATATTTGAGCCCTTAATTCATTAATCTGCTTTCCTAATTTTTATTTTTTGTTAGGTACATTTTACGAAGTTTGTAGGTTCTTAATTAGGTACTATTTTTTATGTTTAAGTTTTTATTTTAGAAGAATTTTATTGTTTTTTTTATTTAAAAGTACAAACGATTCTTATTCTGATTTTTTTCTTCTTTCTTGTCAATTTCTTTCTTTCAATTGTATTGTTATAAGCTTTGTAAATAAAATTTGTACAATTTTCAGTGACAATAAAGCATATTACTTATTTACTTACTTATTTATTTATATTGCTATTAAGGCTAAAAAATAACCAAAAAATTAGTTTTAGAGCATTATAATAAATATACTCTAGAGATGGGATTGCAATAAATCTTAATTCCTATGATCAACAAAATAATGTCGTTATCTGTATATATCTTGAATACAATAAATTCAAATAAATGAGGCAACCTTTAAAAAATTGTTTTAATTTCAAGTGGGACCACTGACAATTATCTGCTGCTTTGTTTAGTTTAGAAATGTATTCCCACATTATTAATTTACTATTAGTTTTCTATTTTTCTAATAAGCTGATGTTTTGCAACATATATGTGCCAAAATTTGGATAGTATTGTAAGTCAAATCACAGTATCTTAGGTAGGAATTGTTTTATAATTAGTCTCAACATAAATGCAATTATGAATGTATACCAGTTTAGTAGATTTGAGTATCTACATATATGACTGTTTTGGCAGCATTGATTGTTGGGTTATTTGAGGACTCTTTATAATGTAATTTTATTATTTGACTTATATTATTATTAAAAAATTACGACTTACTAATTAAGAACAATATTCCTATTAAAATTATTTCTTAAACTTTTATTTTGTAGGTGAAATGGTTTAACCTGAAAATTCCAGTCAGAATAGAAAGAATACGATTATTTTTAGTCAGTATTGAAGGTTTAAATGAATCTTTAAACCATGCTGAGGATAATCAGGGAAAGATTAAGATTTTAGAGAATCTATTTATTGATTTGAGAGATATAATTTCATTGGCAAGGGATAATTCTAGGTCTGATAAATTGACAGCCAAGCAAACAAAGGAATATCAGCAGCTGATTGCTTATCTGTTGTCTATACGTATTGAACGTACTTCCCAGAGGAATGTTCTGCTAATTTTACAGACAAGGTGAGCTACTAATTATACAGGGTGCGGCATTAGTGCGAGGAAGTCCAATTACTCGTTTGTCGTAAGAGATATGAAAAAATTATTTAGGTAAAAACATACTTTAAAAATATTTTCAAATATAAAGGGTCACCAATACTGACGGGGTGGAACAATCGTTTTTTAATGAACTTTGTATATTTTTACATTTTTGGACTCTTTTCGATATTCTCGTTTTTTTTTTTAATATAAGTTTTGGCAGTGTTATACGAGGTAATTTAAAAGAGAATTACGATTTTTTATTAATGTAGCAAAATTAACACCCTGTAGAATTGGATTCCCAAAGGAACCCAAAGAATTGTTAAAGAACTCAAAAATATTATTTTATTATATGTTACAAGCTATATATATATATATATATATATATATATATATATATATATATATATATATATATATATATATAAATATATATTATTTAACAGATTTAACGGGACATTAGTTTAAATCTTACAAACAGAAATGTCCATTACAATTTGATACCTTCTTACATCTTTATATAATGCTATTAATTTCTCTTGATGACCTGGTAAAAATATTTGTTTTAAAGATTAATTTAAAAAAAAAGAGCAAGTATTAAAAAAAAGAAAATTACCTTAGTCATAATTATATATCATATGTAGTTTTTTCTCTTCTTGACATCTACATACAAATTTGGTGTTAAATATAAAAATCAATGGTTATTCAACATGCAAAAAAATTAAGGGGATACCCGTTCAAAAACACTGTAACACTGCACTGACAGTAAGTAAATGAACTGTTAAAGAAAAATATAAATGATAACAGGAGTTTTTCCCCTGTATAGATCACAATAATTAAAATTTTAAGCATGATTATTGAATCTGCTATTGTAGGGTACATAAAAAATGGTAAAAACTTACAGACTTGTGGGCTTGTTAGCTATATTTTTACTTCTCGTTTCGTTTTTATTTGCTAGGTCACTACATATTTTGATTTACCTCTTACTATTTCATTAACTGCATACTATCCCTAAATAACTACCAAAGATACATTTGATTCCCAAATATGTTCAAACATGGCCTATCTCGGCGAAAAGCTGGTACCGCTTACCTAGCGACCGCCATGGGATCCCCGACCTGTTCAAGATCTCAAGCGAGAATAAATTTATTTTCCCATATGTTTGATTTTTGCCCATAAAACAAAACTTTCGCCCTCTTGACGATTTCTATCAAGCAAGCGGTTGGAATCTGACACAGGGCATCTGGCAAATGCCTACAATCATTTTTAATTCCCTTAGCGACAGTTTTAAATGCATATGATGAATGATGATAAAACGATGATCCGATTTTGTTTATTTCAATTGAAGCTTTTTAAGATGCAATTATTACAGAGAAAGCGAATTAAACTGTTTCTTTTTCGAAAATTATGGGATGTTATTCAAATGTTTATAATAATTTTTATTCGGACATTTGAAATACGTATATTAAAATCTTATACAGAATGGAATTTGAAATACGTGAATTAAAACTTTATACTGAATGGAACTTAAAAATGCTACACAACCCCGACGTAAGAGCGAAAACTGGACAAGTAGAAACAGTTTTACGTTTAGGACAAATAGATCTACATGTTGGAACAACAGTAGCATTTTTGGGCATGCTAATAGTGCCAGTATTATATGGTAGCAAGAAGGATGATAAAGTGTATCCATATTCCAGAAAATCAACAAAAAATATAAAAAAGTATTCTAGTTCCTAACAACTATGAGAGCAAACAGTGTTGCACATATTTTTAACACAAAGCTAAATTGGATATTCAACTTGAAGAGTCGACACCAGGTACGGTCCATTAGCTCGTAAGCACAACAACCAATACCAGATTTCTATAAAAATGGTTCTAACCAAACCAAAAAGGTGATACAGACAAGTGTGAAAGTTCCTGGAAGCGAAAATGAGGGGTGTTCTAGCTCAACAAAGGTGGGAGGCCTATCTCTATGGCTATCCACTAGGCAGATAACCAAGTTGGCTTTATACAATACTAAAGTTGACTATCACAGTCGAACAAATGATTGTCGATCTTCTAATCATTAGTTGAAATTCGCGCTAACACCAAAAAGAGGAAAAACAGGATGGCACTAAGTTACGTAAAAATACCCTCCGAAATTGATCACAGCGGAAAATTTCTCAAATCAGGAAACTCCCAGGACAAAAGAAGAAAATAAATCCAAAATGTTAATACATAATTTTGGAAAAGAAGAAAGAACGCGGATATATGGCATGCAAGTCATAATCGATTTATAAACAATTCACACCCAAATTCATATTTCCAAAGGAACAAAAGAAATTGTTATAGTCCGTAATCAATAATAAAATAGTCGTGTAGTCATGTAACACATCCCAAAAATACAACAGTAGAAGTTGAATAATAAAAAAAATTTTAACAACGAATAGAATTGAACTTGGTACAACAAATTTCAATATTAGTGGCGAAAAGAGTAAAAAAGAAGCGAAAGGAGTGATACATGTGCTGGGTTATTGCAGGTTTGATAACTGCGCGTATCACACGCCTAAAATAGTTTGGGTACAAATCAAGAAAATCGATAAAATCAATATTCAGGTTGAAATTGTCACATAGACAACTCCAGTGTCACAATAAGGAAATAAAGAACCATTAAGAAAATTACCTCATCATTTTACGGATGATAATTGAATCGAACATGGTGGTTATACAAATCACAAAGAAATGTTCACTCTTCTTTGGCAAAACTCCAAAAGAGTTAAAACAAAAATATAATAGGCTTTGAATTCTTAGAGGGTCAATTGACAGTAGTATCAGAATTATCTAAGCTGTATGCATGCCGGAGCATAATGCACAACCTTTATATTCGACAGATGATCATGAACAGTTAAATCAACACAGAGAACACAATATAAAAGGAGAATGAGCATAGTTTCTCTGATATTTCCAATTTTAGAACTTTTTGTATAATTATATATATAATTAAACATACCATTTATAATTGCGGAACGAAATGAAATGAACGAATGAAATGTAAAATAACGAAGTGGAAATTCGAAATCCTCCGACGTTGCTGCGGATATAGAATATAAACTATATTGACTAAACGGGGCTAACGCTCAAAGGGCGTACTACATTAGATGCAAAAAAATACTTATTCCGTCACAACTCGGTCTAACACAGTCGACGATGAAATAGACGGTAGAGCACAGAAGTAGAGCACTTACTAGTAGTTCTAAAAAAGCGGATATGTTCATTTGTTTAATAGAAAAAAAATATACCATTTTGTAACATCATTGTTAAATAACTTTATGAAATTATCAAACGGCACGAACAAAGTTACTGCAATGATGTGGACATATTTCCTTAAAACTCCATATCATCCAGACTTAAATCCTATAGCAACTGTAGATAAGTGAAATAGAGTGTGTGAACATGTTGTCAAGGTATTTCAAGGTTAAGGATTGATTTAAATGATTCCAGAGACGATGACACTGGATATGATTATACATATAACATTATCATCCGATGTATTCAAAAATATTTCCTTTATCTACTATTCATAAGCGGATTTAGCAATAATACTATAAATAATAAGGTTTTAAAGTTCGTCATCAAGGAGTACTAAATAAATATCGTTCCAAATATAGTTTCAAGTATATAAAAACGTTGTTAAATATAATCTAACATTGCGTCTATTTTATATTTATTTTTCAACACTTTGATGTAATGTAAATCATAAATATTTTTTGGAACGCCACTGTTTCTGTTCCAAGTAATTCTGGCCTCTGCATTTCTTCTTCTACGGCTTTTCCCATTATGATTTCGCCGTTTTCGTCCTTCACAGGACTCTATTTTCCCAGTCATCTTCTCTGGGGTGCTTATCTATCATAGCATTTCCTATGTATATTTTCCACGTCACTGCACTTAAAACCAGTTAGAGAAAAAGGGAAGACAAAAAATATGAAAAAAAAAGAAGAAGACCCATTGCCACAAATTCAATAGAGTTCTCTCTTAGACTAACAAGTACCTATGTGCCAAATTTGAAGACTGCTTGTCGCGTTCTTAATAAAACATCTTGCAGTTAAGATTCATTTTACTAAAGCTAAAATTTTGTTTTAGAAAACCACAAGATTGTGTCCGTCTTTTAGATATCAACATCCAACAGACTAACGAATTATCACAGAATGACATAATAAAGGGCAATACGAATGCACAAAAATACTACGAGTCCCAAATCGCAGCATATAAAACTCTTAGATATTATTATCTAGCGAAATCGCAAGGGGCTCAAAAACGTTGGAAAGAAGCTGCTGTTCTCTTGGATACTGCCTACAATTCTGCACAAGTGTTAAAACAAGGTGAGTTGAATTGTACAATCTAAAATTTGTCTCATAGCTGTTATGCGATTATTTTCACATTTGTCTATTTAACTTCTCTTTTAAATCATAATTCTTGATTATCCTTTATCGTTGTGTTAATATTATCAGTTGCAATGCAAAACTTCTACACTAGAAAATAACATAGGTGCACTTAAACTAAAATACAAATTCAACAGAAGGGTACACAACATAAATATTTCTACGATCCAGCAGGCTGAGATTAATACTATCTCAGAACTATTTGCAATGTATAAAGTCATATGTTACGTTACAAACAGTCCTGAAACTAACTTCCTAATAATTACAGACTCACTAAATTTTCTAGAAATCATATCTAAAATCTAAATCACAGAAACATTGTTTTTCTGTGGGTGCTATCTCATATTGGAATCAGGAAAATGATCTGGCAGACAAATATGCACGAGAAGCCTTAGGGGACGCAACTATTGAGTTCTATCCAATAACTCCAACGACAGATCTCAAATCATATTTCCACAGCAAAAGTTTTGACATATGGAATAGCAGATGGAACAAAAAACATGCCAAATTACTTGTTATTAAACCAACATTTCAACCATGGTTGGTCTGATAGTTCCACCAAAAGTTTTTCTCAGGTTATCATCACGCGACTACGGCTTGGTTAAAGTCGCTTTACGCATGGACATCTGACGACACCAGATCCCCAACTGGAGAGTTAGGGTTGCTAGACTCCGCTAATAATAAAACCTAGTGGAATGCCGTAAAATTAGTTACACAGCAATTCGGAATCCCGTAGAATTTGACAGAACTATTCTTAAAGTGCGGTGCCAAAGTGATTATTCAATATTTAAAAGCAATTAACTATTTATACAAAATTTGATTGTTGTACTATTCTATGGATGTTAATAGGTTTTTTCTTTTTCTCTAATAGCCATATAGGTTGAGGCGAGTTTGTAAATAAAAAAAAATGATACTATTTGTAACATATTTTTTATTTTCTACACACATACACACCAAATGTTTGTTCTTCTATGTAAAATTTTGTGAATCTTTATTAAATACATGTTACAACTCTACACTGTTATGCTGTCATTTCTTCGTCTTGAGTTTTTTGTTACTTTTTGATTTTGCGTCTTTACGATCTTATGAGTCGAAATATTATTGATTTACTTGCTATTATTTTAGGTAAATTCGAATTGGAAGTTAAAGAAATTTTACAAAGGATTGAAGACAAATCACAAATTGACATCGCAACGGCTAAAGCTAACATGATATTGGATCAGAAACAAGATGAATCAACGATACAGTTTCCACAAAGCCAAAAAACTTACAAAAGCAAGAAACCGTTAGTCGAAAGGTTGGATGAGTTTAGGGAAGATCCGCAGTTATTGTCCAAAAATCCCAATCTTGTTACTCTGCCACCCGCTATGGAACCAGTGCCAGCAAAACCATTATTCTTCGATTTGGCTTTGAATTTCGCCGAATTTCCCGATCTTTCTGAGAAGTTGGATGATGGAAAACCCAAACAGAAACAGGGAGCTGGTATTTCTGGTTTCGTTAAAGGACTTTGGGGATGGGGAAAATAGGAAATTAGTTAATACAGATGGTTTTATAAGATTTTCACATTGTTTAATAAATTTAATATTACCTATGTGTTGTATATTTATTTACTTAAAATAAAATAATCAAAACTAGTTGGATTATCGACCGAAACATAAACAAATAATTTTGTAGTAAATTAGCAGGTATGTGGTCTGTTGAATATTTGTAAATAAAACTCCTGATTTCCTTTACATCTCTATATTTCGCTAGTTGTTTTTAGCTTCATCAGGAGAAAATAATTAAGAGTATTTTAACATTTCCACGTTCAAAACAGTTCAGTATTATATACGAGTATAAAAAACATTAACTTTAAATCTATACCGGGCGTTTTTTGTTTATCTGGTTGTTCATAAAAAAATTGACGTGTTTATTGTGCTATCTAATATTTTAATTCCGTTTCTACATCCACATCTTCACTAGATTATTTTGGTACGTCCAAAATTTTGTTATAATTTGTATCATGTCGATATTCAGAAATATAAGTTTTTAACTCTCAATACATTTCTCAACAAACTAACGAAATATTTATATTTATCTCTGAATAGCTTTACTACCTGGATTAATTCTATTGAGTAAATCGTACCAAATTATTAAACTGCAAATAAATTAAATTTAAGGTATAAAATTTTTGCTTCATGTTTAATTTCTAAGTGTATCTTTAATTTCTCATAATTAATCTTGTAATGGCCGAATAGTATTGCCTGTACTTTCTCAGCACATACCTGATTGTTGCAGAGTTAAATTTGATATAAATTGTAATAAAATATTCCAAAGTTTTGAAGACGATCAAAAATTTTTTTATTAACTCACTATCGATATGTATTCCTTCATTTTCTCATTCTAGTGACTTCAAAGCAGGAGTCTACTGTTCAAGTACATTGGTGAACAACTTTGACAAATAATATCTCCTTGATATGTATCATCGATAGGATCGTGCAGATATATAGTTATAGCATATTTTCTATAATGTTGGTGTACCTATGATCAATTCGACAGTATTCCAGTGCCTTTAGAAATGCGGGTAGATTAATAGTATTAAACGTTTTATGGAATTCTATAAACGTTAGAACTAGGAGTCTATTGTATTCCATAGATTTTTAAATCAAGACTTTTTATGCATCTTAGGTGGTGATTTGTACCATAGTTGGAGGGAAAACCATCCTGTTCTTGCAGTTCAAATTTTGTTCTCAATCTATTCGATATTATTCTGGTGTACAATTTTTGATCATTGAGTAAGCAAATTGTCCTCTAAGTTCATTCCCTTTTTATACAGAAGAATTATAATGCGGTTATTCCAATTGTAATGATTTTTGATTATACACGCAGAAATTGAAGTTTCGTATTTTCTTCAGAAGAGAAGTTCCAGAAGAAGTTGAAGTTTTATAGCTTCTGTAACTGTTTCGTCATCTCCTGGAGCCTTGTTGTTTTTTATTTTTTTTTGAGTGCATATTGTATCTCATCTTGAGCAATTTCTGGAATATCTTCAGATCCCTGTTTTGTACCTTTCGTCTATCGTTTTGGTTATTTTATCTAGTGTAAAACTTGTCTTTACTAAGTGGCCTTATGCGTTGTGGGTCACTGTACCTATCACTTTGTAACTGTCTTCTTTCTATTATTTTGAGTTGTATTTCTCATAATCTTCCCATCTCGTTTAGTTTTTGGACAAAATCGTGAATCGAAAGGCTGTAGGCGATGAGATGAATGGGAAGGCAGCGACAGCATCGTTATGAAGTTTTTTTTCCAATACTCATTAGCTTCAAGGATGATAAGGCTACCATGGTTGTCTAAAATTAGTAAAACGGGTTCATTTTCTCTTGGGTTGGCATACTTTTTAAAACATTTTAACCACTGAATAAAAAGTTAAATGTGCCTTGAGCGGTTGTAATGGCTATTTTGTCCATGTTATAAATGTTGTTGGGTGTAAATTTAAATTTTTTTTATCACGTTTTATAGGTTTATAGAATACGTGTTTTCACCTCGATTTTTTTTAAGCCTTTTATTCAGTTAAGACTAGTTGCTTCAGGTTTCCGCACTGAAATGGATTGATTTTTTAAAATCTTTCTAGCCGATCTTTACCAGCTACCCTGTTTGTTGTGTTAAATTTGTGGTGAATATTCAGTTTTTTTTGCAAATTCAAATGCAACTTTTCTGAACTGTAGAGGTATCAACCCGTAGTACATATTCGGTAAAGTCTTCAAGTATTTCACTACACTTGCTTCTTGGTCAGAGGTGAAGACAGCTTTTCTTCCGAGACGTGGACCACACCTTCACATGTCATAGACTTTTTAAGTCTCTCTTGAAGAATACTGAAAGGAATAGCATAATCCTTAGAAGTTGTTGTAATAGACTTCCCATTTTAAACCGCGTTGACAGCTATTAATAGCTATTTTGGCGTTCATTGCACTTTACTAGTTAAACGAATGATATGTCGTGTCATCTAAAATATAAAGAACAATAGTAAAATAGCCATATAAAAGTTAGAATTAATAAATATACAAGATACACTAAAACGCACCCAAGTCTATATGGTGGGAAGGAACAAGGAAGCAAAGTATGTGGAGTTGTATTTGCGTATTGGATAATGCTTTTAAATCAAAAATCATAGACTTCCAGGCAGTCAGTGAAAGGATATGCAAGTTAAGAATTGCACCCACTTCTTCAACCTAACAATGATAAATATTCACTGCCCAACAGGAGCACAAGAACAACATACAAAGGAGAGCTTCTACCAACAGCTGGAGATAGTATGCTTCCCACATAAAGACGTACACATAATGATATGGATTTCACCATATGGAACCACAACCAATCAAATCGACCACGTGCTGATAAACAAAAGGGTAGCCAGTAGTATCTCAGATGTGAGAACACGACTAGGAGAATGCTGTGGATCAGACGATCAGACTATCTTTTACTCCAAACCAAATTTAGATGCAGAGTTAACAAAGAAAGAAATGAAAGACAACAAAGAACAAGCAAACTGGACCTGGAAAAACTGAAGAATAAGGAATGTAAAGGAAGGTTTGAAGAAGTCGCAAATGAGTTAAGGGCGCTAGAACTGCACTCCATAGAGGGCAAATGGAATAATATTAAAACAGCAGTACTGACAGCAGCAGCGTCCACCCTGGGAAACAAGAAAAAGGCGAGAAGAGGAGGTCACAAAGAAATGAAGCACACAAAATGTATATAACAAGAAGAACAGGGGAAAGACGAACATCATTTGAGACGGAAAGCAGACAAGATTTGTAGAAATAAAAAAAGAGACTATGAAAATGGACAAATAAAAAAAATGAAAGAAAATTTTTAAAACAACGAAATTAGAGGGGCTTACGAATACCTAAAAAAGATAAAAAGTGGGTATAAACCTCAAACAAGTCTATGTTATGATGAAAGTGGGTAAATAATCAGTCACCAACAGAAAGTCACAGAAACCTGAAATCAATATTTTCAGACCCTACTTGGTACACAAGTAGACATGGAAGATGAAATGAATACGAACTACGTAGAAGAGAATGAAGTAGAGGCTGCACTAGAATCTCCAACCATAGAGGTAGTTATCAAAGCTATTAAGACCCAGAAAAACAATAAAGCCCCGGGAGTTGACGAAATACCAGCAGAATTGTTTAAGGTAGGTAGCGACCACCTAGCATGTCACATCCACTCGCTCATCCAAGACATATGTCAAAAAGATAAAATAGCCGACGGATGGAAGAAAAGTATTGACACAAACACATACAAACAAGAGAGTGCCCGATCGATAAAAAAGGAGACAAACTTCAGTGCAAAAACTACTGTAGAATTTCTCTACTATGTAGGTACAGCAAATAAAGTCCCCACGTATATTATAAACCAGCGGCTCCAACCACTAGCAGAAAATATTATTGGAGAGTATCAGGGCTTCCGACAGGGAAGATCGACACTGGATCAAATATTTACAGTCAAACAGATCTTGAGTAAATGGGAACATGACATTGATGTTCACAACGTGAATGTAGACTCAAACAGGCATACGACTCAGTCAAAAGTCTACAATATATTGGCTGAATTGGCAATGCCACACAAGCTAATTAGACCTATTAAGGCCATAATGGATGAAACTCAGGCATGTCTACGAATACAAAACCACCGGACAGACTTTTTCAAAATTTTGCAGGGACTAAAGCAGAGAGATGGGCTGGCCCCAACTTTGTTTAATCTGGCACTGGAGTATGCGGTTAGACAAATGCAAAAGCTTCCAACCGAACGGTTTAACTGGCCGCTTATGCCCATGATATTAATATTATGAGTAGAACATCAACAGGAGCACAGGAAACAGGCAGGGTTAAAAACGCAAACAAAAAGGCTAGGTCTGGAAATTAACACAGAAAAAAGAAAATAATGATACAGATGAGAAGAAATACAGTCCCACAAAACATTATACATGAAGATGGCATTGAAACGGTTGAAAAGTTTATATATCTGGAAGTAGAAATATATGGCGACGAATCAGAAGATGGAGAACTAAATACGGAAGAGAGAAATAAAAATGTCTACCGAATTAAAAAGATGAGAATCTTCTTTCTTCTTTAAGTGCTATCTCCGCGACGGAGGTTGGCAATCATCATGGCTATTCTGACTTTCGAGGTAGCTGCTCTGAAACAATTGCCTTGAGCTGCAACCAAACCACTATCTTAGGTTCTTCAACCAGGAAACGCGTGTTCTTCCTAGGCTTCTCCTACCCTCTATTTTTTCTTGAATATGAGTCTCAAGATGTTGAATTTTTGGCCTCTCATTACATGTCCGAGATATTACAATTTCCTTTCTTTTATTGTATTTTCCATTTTCTTCTCTCTCCCTATTCTCCTTAATACTTCTGCATTAGTGACTCTATCTACCCATGGAATCCTTAACAATCTTCTAAATGTCCACATTTCAAACACGTTAAGTCGATTTATTGTATTCCTGTTTAATGTTCATGATTCAGCTCCACAGCGGAGTACACTGTATACATAGCATTTAATTAGGCTTATTCTGAGGACCAATGTCAGATCTTTGTTGCATAAAATCCTT